TCCAAAATATTTTTTTTTAAATTCGTATCTCCTTCGTTTACAAACATTAATACTCGAAATTTTCACAGATTTTAATCAAAGATCTTCATTTTATGATGCAATTTATAATTACTATTAGTTCAGAGGTCTTAAGAATCAGCCACCTAAAGTGAAGGTACTCGCGTGAGGTGGTGGGGGAATCAGCTTTAACTCGATTTATTTTTTGAAATTGAGTCTTCAAATCGGACCGCGTTGTAAAATTTTGCATACTCTCGGCTTCTTAGCAACGTAGAACCTTCTTTTTTAATCTGGGGTAACTCGTCGAAATAATGACATCTGGCACATTTTCATTTTCTTGGAAAATCGGGAAATCCCGTTGTATTCTTCAAAATTAAATTAATAAGAAATAATAATAAATCGACAATAAATCATTTATTTTTACTGTCACTCTAATAAAATAACTTATATTTTACAATCAAATTGTTTAAACAATTCATAATTCAGTTAGTTGGTATACTCTGACAAATTGTAAAAATATTGATTCACGTTTGTCTTTCTATTTTATTTATTTTATTTGCATTTTTTGTGTTATAATAATATTATATAGTGTATATTTTAATAATATATTATTATAAAATAAACGGACAATATATTTAATTTGAATTCGTTCCAAAGAAGGTTCAAATTCACTTGTATCGAAAATAACCATTACAGGTATATGGTATGGAAAATAACCATTAGAACAGTTTTTGAAGGAGAGTAAAAAAATGTAAAAGGAGAAAAAGTACCACGTATAATTTAAATTTAAATTCAATTTGATTAATTTAATTTTAATGAAAGTAAATTATTTATTGTTAATTTATTATTTTTTCATATTAATTTAATTTTGAAGAATATAATTTTCCCGAGATTTCCCGATTTTCCACGAAAATCAAAATATGCTAAATGTCATTATGTATTTCGACGAGTTACCCCCAAATTAAAAAAAAGGTTCTACGTTGCTTAGAAGCCGAAATAATGCAACATCTTAAATCGAGCAGACCTGATTCCCTCACCACCTCAAGCGGAAATACTTACGCTAGTACCTTCTCTTTAAGTGGCTATTTCTTAAAGACCTTCGAACTAATAGTAAAATTATAAATTGGATCATAAAATTAAGATTCTTGATTAGAATCTGTGAAAATTCCCAGTCTTTTAATGTTTATAAGCTGAAACCTTCAAGAATCCATTTCACTTTTTTAAAATATTCTAGGACCATATTTTAGGCAAGAACAGCTCTTTAATAATTCGTCTCTAGGACAAACAATTATCTTTTTACATAAACTATTAAACCGATTCAGCTGAAATTTAGCACACTTATTATGACCAATGATGCCTCACAAATTTTTAGCCATTTGCAATTGTTATTGCAATAGTTATAAACATTTATTCAATATTGCTGAAAAGCCCCGTATTTAGCTTAATTGTTTATCGATTTTACCTCTTAAAAAACAAAATTAAAGGTCTTCTTATTCTCTGAAATACCCAGTTTACCGATTATTTATAAAATTTCATTTGAAAATTATACAATCAGAATACTGAATTTGGGGCTTTTCACATTTTTATAAAAAACAACGCATATCTGGCTGTATTTTTTTATGTATTTGTCATTAGAAAGACCCCCCTCCATTTAAAACTTCTGATATCTACTATTTTTTTTTCAAAATCTTTTTTTGTCTAGCCTGGACGATAAAGGGCCGAGTCCGCATTAAAATAGACAGTTTAAGTGTTTTTATTAAATTATTTTATATGTACCATTTCTGAATTAACTAAATTGATTAAAGAGGTTAATAAAACAGGTTTATGAGTTGAATTATACCATTTACTTAATGTCTTGCTCAATTTATTATCCTTGAAAAACAAGATGTGACGGAAGACATGACTGAACACCAGGCTAAATACTGTTTTTAGCTTGTCACCATGAAAACGGGCATCAGGTGTGGTCATATTAAATTTTGTTTTTATGAGGCTATCTTAGGATCATAGTCGTAAAGTCTATCTTGGTTCATGTCGAACAATCCAATAACATAGCGTTGCAGACACTACAGGAGCTAACCTCACGTGCAATTTTTCGCAATATGGTTTTGTTGGATGCAGTTTTTCACCAAACAAGGTTTGTGCAGGGTTACGACGATTTAAATCAAATCATTTAAATCAGTTGATTATTTCAATTTTAATGGTGATTTGAATCATATTATAAGTTGCTGTAATAACAAGTCGCCGAATCAAATAACTGAAATAGCTCAAAAAAGAAAGAAAGTTTATTTAAAACTGAGGGTTTAGATACATTGTGTAAGTTTAGAAACATAACTAATCCTCAGCAGTTCACCGTACATATTGATAAATTAAGAAAACTTTCATTTTTAAATCTAGTCCTTAACAAACGTACATTATACATCGTGTGCGAAAACCTGCAGTTAGCCTCGGTTTTCGGCCAACTTTTTTGCTATTAGTCGGATCTTTTTACGTGTGATCTCATTTTGTATGTATCATAAATTTCTTAAAATCTCATATGAAAAGTTTTTTCGTCCCTGCCTACACTTTCGATTGAATCCCAAAAAACACGTTTTCTCATTCTTTGTTGTTGAATAAAAAGTTTTCCCACAAAAATTGGTGTACCCATTTTATGCGTCCGTGTTTTGAATACCCTCTTGAACAACTTGCTGCATTAAAACCAGACATTGAGGAACGATTTTTGCAAATAGAAGAAAAGAAAAACTAAACATTTTTGAAAGAAATTTAGTTGACGATGACTATCAGTTTTTAAAGAGCCTTTTGTTATATTTAAAACGCTTACCTCCATCAAGGAAACTAATTGTGAGATCTCAATTACAACAGGTACTAATTGATGATGAAAAGAACGCTTCAGTTCGATTAGCAACAGAATCCCTGTGTCAGGATTATGTGTCTTTGGCCAGCACTAATTCAACTTGAAAGTACCTTGGTTAGGGAAAATCTTCCCTTCTGGACCCCAGTTTTCTTTGCCAACATTTTTTCAAACTTACGATCCGTGCTAATATATGAATTTTTTCTATGCATATATTATAATAAATTATAGCTTAGTTATTTTGTGTTTTAATAATTTTTTTTTTGTTATTATGAATTATGTTTACTTACCTTAAAGTTAAAGCTAGCCGTTCCGTAGGACTGATATTGTTTCGAAAATTATATTTAGTAATATTTGGTCAAACTGTCCTTCACTGCTTCCAGTATATAGATAAACCTATCTTTTCTCATTCGGAAATAGATAAAAAATTGTTCCTCATTTTCGCTTAGATCATGGATTCCCAAAGTGGTCTGTATCGACCCCTAGGGGTCTATGACAACCTGCAAGGGGTCTACGTCAGCAAAAAAAAATTTGGGGGTCCATGAAATGAATAGGGGGTCCACGATAGTGGATCTCAACACATACACTGATAGTACCTATTTACTTACATCATACTATCTTATAATATCAAAACATATACATTATTTATAAAAGCACCTATGAAGTAAAAAATTTATTATATATGTTTATAAAATTGTGTAAGTTGTAGGATGTTGGTATTCGCTTTGTGGTCGCAATACATTTTGAACTTGTCAAAACCTGAGAGTCGCAGTCTCAGAGCTTCGCTACCTTGCACTGACTTGTTCAATTCGTCACTCTATAAATACGAATGTGGGACAAATACGTTTATTCGTTTCCTGAATCTTGAAAAGGAAAGTGCTAAGAAAATATTTAAAAAAATATAAACAGATAGTATATCACACAAATTATAGTGAGTCAGTGTTATTTTGTTTGAGAGTGCTGGAGAAAAGTAAGTACATTATTTTTTATTAAATTTTAGTTTTGTACTCGTAGATAGCAAAGATAGATAAATTACGCCAATCATGTCTTTAGTTATTAGTAGTTAAATATTCAATCAGGCAAAATTACACGAGTACTCCTCAATAGTTTCTTTTTGAAAGTTTTAGCAATCGGTAATATAATTACAGTGCAATCTCCGTAATTCGAGCTAATTGTTGCCAGAAGATGTTCGAATTATGGAATGTTTTCGGAAAAATCAAAAAATATTTTTAATATACAGCTGCTGGATTTTCTGTCTTATTTAAATAATTTAATTTTGCCCACAGATGACTGATGCCATGTCCGAATCTAAAAAGAAATGTAGACAGTACAGTGTTGATTATTTGAAATTTGGCTTCATTCCATCATTGCCGGACAAACAATCGCCTATGTGCCTTTTATGCAACAAAGTTTTGGGCAATGACGCTATGAAACCATCTAAACTGCAAGATCATCTGAGAAGATGCCACCCTGATAAAACAGAGAAATATTTGAAATACTTTCAAACACTCAAAGATAAATTTCAGAAGAGACCTACACTGGACAGAATGTTCGCTTCGACGTCACAAATAAATGATGACGGTTTGCGGGCGTCTTACAATATCTCGTTACTTATAGCAACATCCGGAAAGCCGCATACTATCGGAGAGAAGTTACTTTTGCCAGCCGTTGAAGAGGTTTTAAAAACTGTTTTACACAAAAGTGCATCTGATATCATTAAAAGAATTCCCTTAAGCAACAATACTGTTGAAAGATGTATTGATGAAATGAGTTCTGATATTGAAAGCTTCTTATGTAATTATTTGCAAACGACCCATTTCTCTATACAACTGGACGAGTCAACTTTACCTGATAATGCAGCATTATTATTGGCATATGTTCGTTTTATTATGAATCAAGAAATCTACGAAGAACTGCTCTTCGCAAGAACTTTGATAACCGACACTTAAGGTGAATCAATCTTTCATGTTTTGAAGGATTTCTTCATTGAAAAAGCAATTCCTTTATCAAATATAATATCAGTAGCTACAGATGGAGCACCTGCCATGGTTGGACGTTATCGAGGATTTATAAGCTATTTAAAACAAAATGTGTCAGGGGTGATAGCAATACATTGCGTCATCCATCGACAACATTTAGTTGCTAAAAATTTGAGTGTTAGATTGCATGAATCACTTCATTTAGTCATTGATGCAGTAAACCGAATCCGAAGCAACGCGTTGAATACGTGGTTATTTGCGCAGTTGTGTGAAGAAAACGACGAACACTTTCATCAATTACTGCTTCACACAGAAGTACGCTGGCTGTCGAAAGGCTTATGTTTGACAAGATTTCTTGCACTTTTTGAGACCATTTTAGAATTTCTGGATTCTAAAGAAAAAATTTTAAAAGAAAATTTAATGAAGAGGAAAACAGACATCGCCTATTTAACAGATTTGTTTACAAAATTTAATATGGTTAATTTGCAATTACAAGGCGACAGTTTAAATTTGATTAAAACAAAGTCCATCTTATCAGCGTTTCTTGCCAGAGTTAAACTAATGAAGCAAAATATTGGACGGGGCGAATTTTCTCTGTTCCCCAATTTGTCACAGACAAGCTGCCAGGAAGACGACGTTTCAACTCACGTTCAACATTTAAATGCCCTCTATTCAGATTTGGAATCTATGTTTGAGGATATTTTGACTATGGTAATACCACCGTGGATAATTAATCCATATGGTGACATAGAAGAAACGAATGTCATAATACAAGAGGAACTGACTGAACTAAGTACAAATGAGGAACTTAAGGTTCAGTTTAAAAACGGATATCAGCAATTCTGGCTGCAAAACAACATACCCGTTACTTATCCCGTATTATGGAATATAGCGAGGAAATTTTTTATTTCCTTTCCATCGTCATACCTAGTGGAACCCTTACAAAATTGCCCGCATTGATTTTTTTAAAGAACCTCCCTTTATAGATTTTTTTTTTAAATTATTCTGAAAATCCAAGGTTAGGTACACACTAAAATTCGTTAATTTTGTGCCTATTTTTAGATAACTTAAACGTATAAGAAGCGGAATTTAATCAAACTTACAGTGAAATTATTGTAGAACATACGTTTATGTTATAATTAATAAACGAACTCGCTTATTGTACTATTTTAAGTAAAAAACTTTTTTTTTATTAGTTTTCACTTTTTTATTTTATCCATCTTATTTTTTTTCAATGCGGGCACTTATTCCCAATGCGGGCACTTATTGGTCAGACACCTGTTTATTTAATGTTACGTATATTTTACATAACAGATACAAAATTTTATGGGGTCTACCCAACATGGAAAAACATGGCAAGGGGTCTACGACACAAAAAAGTTTGGGGAACTCTGGCTTAGATCATTCCAAATATGCTGAAATTTATCAAACTCGTTTCGTTTCCTCAGTAGTTCCTTCACCCATGTTTTTCTCTTCTTTTTCGTAGTCTGCGCATTTTCTAATAAAGATCACCATCCAACATTTTGTTTTCTCAGACCGTTCTGTTTGCAATTCGCTTATTTTTTAACGCAGCCAGTGTGCGAAGAATTGACGCACGTACGAGCCCCTTCCCACTTCAGTTGACCCAACTATTGAAATCTTAGTTTTTTTCTTATCAAACACAAATAATTAAAATGTAGCAGGTTTAAAATATTAACAATGAATATTTTGATAATATATGGTAGGAAACACCAACTTTATCACTCCCTAATCAAATTTGCAGCATAAAAATAACACAAGTTGCAATTACAGCATATCAACCTATTTTCATTTCAATGCAAAATAAGTCTATAATGCATAGGTGGCTGTGAACAATAAAAGCCATGACAATTGTTTTTATTAATCACAGCTGTCAGAATACGTTTAAAATAGTTTTGGGTAGTTAAGGTTTTCAAAATGGGTAGAGGAAAGGTTATTAGTGAGAAAATTCGGTTACTGATAATAAAATTTTTTAATTCTCAGAAATTGCAACTTTGTTAGACTTATCGCAGTACAGTGAGAGAAATATTGTTAGAAGCCACTATTAACTCCACTGCAAAAGAAAAATCGGCTTAGATGGACTAAAGAACATAGACAATGGACACCTCAACAATGGTGTGCAATACAATGGAGTGATTAGGCCCGATTCGAAGTTTGTGTTGGTGACAGTTGCAGTAGAGTTATTCGCAAAAAAAATGAAGCATTCCATGTTGACTGTCTGAAGAGAAAAGTGAAATTTCCAGCATCCATTATGGCCTGGGGCAGTATGTCCATCAAAAGAAGTAGAAAAACTTCATTTTATTGATGGAAATGTGGATACAAACAAATATTTGGCAATTTTAGAAGAATTGCTTCTACCAGTGATGTAAGAATGTTTGACATCCGGCCAAGATTTTGTGTTTCAGTAAGATGGTGCAGTGTGCCATACCTCAAAAAAGGCTATAAAATGGATGGAAGAAAATAATGTACCACTTTTGAAATGGGTTTCTAGCAGTCCAGATCTGTCACCTATTGAAACTTTGTGGCACGAGATGAAAAAGGTTCTACGACAAGATCCTGCTCGTACAATCACCGAACTGAGCCAAAAGCTTCAAGAAATATGGGATTGTTTTACACCAAATTTTTGCCAAAACTTGTTTAACACTATGCCCCAAAGAATTTCAGCCGTAAAAAAATAAAGGTGATGTTACCCAATGGTAATCTTACAATTGTTGCTTTGTTAACTTCGCGCATTTATTCGCACATTGTTTATTTGTTAAGATGTTCTATTAGCTATAGGTCTAAGTGATTTCAAATATGTATTTTTTACGACTAGAGAGTATCTAAAATGTTTTTGAGAAAATAAATTGTTTTAGAAGTAAATAGTTTCGTCATATTTAGTTTATAAAGGCATATTTTGGTATAAATCTTGAAGTGGGCCAACTGAAGTGGGAAGGGGCTCGTATATCCAAGATTGAATTTCGGAAGTATTCGCGCGTTTTTGTATTCGCGCGTTCACGCTTCGACTGTGAGAGAAGCCTTGCGTCAACTGATCATTATAGACTTGTTCCACCCTTGAGTCTTGGTATCGAATCCAGAATCAACCGGTTATCATTTGGTACGTTTTTCTATGCATGCGGTGACTGATCAATATTCCAGAATTTTTTCTGAGCTTGAAGGTAGTAGAGGATTTTGGGATCGTTTTTGTAACCAGGAAGTGACAGATGGCCCCTTCGTCACTACTCATCGTCATGAAAGCTGGAGAATATCAATAAATTATCTTTAAATAGAAAATACACAGGCTAAGAGCACGTATACAGTTTGGTTGGAGCTAAGTTTTATTGCGCAGGTCAGTTATTTTGATTCCCCTTTCAATGTAGGAACCGAGTTTACTCTTACAAAACCGTTCCGGAACGATCCCAACATTGGTTGGAACAAAATGCAGAACTTTCCCCTTACGATACAGACTATGTTGGAACGATTTTTACTAAATGCGCATTTGCGTCACCGTTATAGAATGGCAGGGGTATTATGTTAAAAACCTAAACAACTTAAAAAATACGGCGAAATGTTATCTTGCAGACTAGGTAGTTTTTAGTGTTCAAATAGTTCACGCTTGCTCGCTATGATCGCTGACATTTAAGCAACACGTACAAGGATAAAACGAGTTCACTAGTGTATAACACGTTGTGCTAAGTGAACATTTTGTACAAAAATCTACGTTATGTGACAAAAAAACCGACGAAATGTCACTTTTCAAGATACGGAATACCGGCACGGGTATTATGTAAACAACCTATAAAACGGCAAAAAAACTATAAAATGTCATATTGCAGACTAGGAAGTTTTTAGGGTGCTAATAATCATTCCACGTTTGCTCACTAGGATCGTTGTGAGCCTCCATCTATGGAGGAATGACTTAACTACATGCATTGTTGGTTGCATATGTTTTATGAAGCCGAGTAGTCTGTAGTTTTCATCTCTGCGAAGAAAGTTGGTTGAATATCGAGATCGCATCTGGATGAGTATATGTATTGGTCTGCAATTAGTGATACCTATTTGCTGTGTGAGAAAATCATTACTAAATATGCTGCCAATGAAGTATTTATATCTATTAGCTGTGCCCGACGGGTTATTTATATGTTGTCCTTCCTGAAGGCAAGTTATGTTCAAAGTTATAAATTACGATTTTTTACATTTTTTTGTGTTTTCAAAAACTTTGAGGACTATTACGGGAAATCGTCACAGCGCCCGCGTTGTGTGCAATTAAGTAGCATCACAGAAAAATTAGGAATGACGTTTGAAACGCTTGTCTGTGCCATGGTTTGTGTTCGACTTGTTAATTCCAAGAGGCATAAAGCTTGAGATCCTGCCCTGAGCATTCAGACTTCAGCTACACCTACAACACTGTGTGCCTCTTTCCATGAATTTTCATATTTTGGTGGCACGCTGCGCTATGTCAAATTAGCGTAACAAATTAACAAAGTCAGCGTATTCCTCATTTATTTCCGCGAAAAAAACTCGTCATAAATCTGAGTTAAAAACAGGAACCGAAGCGACCCGCAAGCCCTTTTGCTCTACATCATTAACGGTCGGCAGGGGTATTACGTATCTTGAAAAGTTACATTATGGCAAATTTTTTGACATTATATGGATTTTTTTGTGAGATTATGTAGGTTTTTCTACAAGATGTCAGTTTAGCTGTTGTACACTTGATGTGAACTGTTCCATAAACTTCATGATGCTTCAGCTATCAATGTTTGGCAGTGCTTAGGTGCATAGTGAGGATTTATGTGACAATCTGTGTTGATGATAATTCCATTGTCTCAAATACACTTAGTTGCGATGTATGCAAAGTCAAAAATTATCTGCGCATCCGCTTTTTATTAACCTGGACATTACATATGAAAATTTGAATAAAGAGAGCGAAAAGAAAATCGCTGGTAAATTAAAACAGGTGAGAAAATATGGTAAATACAGGAATATTTATGAAACGTAAATGAGTCATTACATTTCACAGTAATTTTTATTTTGAATCATTTTATAGAAATTTATTTTTTTATCTAGACAGTAAGATGACATTTTGTTAGTTTTTTGACGATTTATGAGTTTTTCACGTAATAACCCTGCAGGACGAGAGATCATTTCTACGTTGGCCCTTTGGCGTAAATATTGAAATTAGCTGGGGAAACGAGCCAATTTGCCCGCACCCTGCTGAAAGCTATATCGCGGTTAGTTACAGCTTATAATCAGCTAAAATTGCTAGCTGCTGCGAAATGCCGAGGAACAGTGCAAGAGGCAGATGGAATCCCTACTGATGCTGCTCAACGTTAATAATGGCCAGAGGTAGCAGCAGACGATCGATTATATTATATATTATAGGGACCAGAAGGTTGACAATCAGGGTCTCGCTTTGAAGGTAATATCTTGGTTTACCGCGTAGAATTAGAGATAATCTATTTCTTCAACAGACTGCTTGGAGTATCCTTAATAATTTTCCTCTGATTTGTAATCTTGTGGGCTTTTACTGCCATAGTGAAACACGTTAATTCTTTTATTGATAAATTTATTGTGTTCAATCTTTGTCGCTAGGTACTGAGAGGTAGTTGCTCTGCTTACCGCAGCATTTCTGGTGATCTGCACTTATATGATTTGCAATACCTAACATCTGCTAACAGTTTCTAATAACAATATTTATACAGTGTGTTCGTACCATACTACACCTCCCCGGATATTCAAAAGAATTTTCTTTCTAATGAAATGAAAATTCTTCTTCCTCGTTGAGAATGTTTTATGACAAGATGAAAAAATATATTTATACATATATAAATTTGTAGATTAGTACACTTGTTTACATATCCGGTGAGATTCAAATTTGG